TAAAAAATTAAAAATTGTATTATTATTTAATAAATATTAATTTAAAAAATATAAAAAAATTAAATATAAATCTTTTAATATTAATAAATAATTTTAATTAAAATATTTTTATATTAGTTAGTAATATTATTAAAATATTATATTTTTTTTTCTAGTGTTATGTTTTAAAAATATATTAAAAATATATTATTTATTATAAAAAAACATAAAATCATACTGTATAAAAAAACTTGAATCTTATAATCTATAGATCTATAGTGTAGTAGTTAACACTTTATAGATCAAATTATAAAATATCAGTTTAATACCATGTGAGGGTGGTTAAATAGAATTAATATAATATCTGGCACTATAATCTATAAAAGTGCTGTTTCTTATAAAAAGCCATTTTACATGCTGATTCAAGAAAAGATATCATGAAGCAATAATCATTTGGTTGATATTAGGATAATTATTAGAAGTTGCAAGGTATATGATGTGTCCAATTTCAACAAGTAGGTTTGATGATTACTTCTCTAATATCTGGTATCTTTCATGCAAATTCCAGTCCTAGTCTTATTTCAATCCAATAATAAACTGATATGGTGATACTTATTTTGAGAAAGTATATGGTTATAGGTCCTGTTTCTTGCAATATGTAAGTTGGTGTTCAGGTAGTAAGCATTAGTTATAAGTATCTTGAACATTTTGAGGTATTGGTTAGACAAGTAAGAAATTAAATGATTAGTTTAGCTACAGATAATGATAAAAGGATTTATTCTTAATAGAGCAAGTAGGAATTATATAGCTTTATTTGCTATAGATATTATTTCTAGTGCTTTTTTTGAACTTCTTCTTAATTCTTTTTCAAATTAGAAATAAAGTTTAACTATTAGTGAAAATATATATTATTGATTAAACAAAAGATCCTTTTGTTCAGTAAATTAGTCTCTATATCTAATATAGTTAGGAACAAGCTATAACAAATATCATTATTTGAAGCAATCCTGATAAGTGTTGGATATAACTGACAACCAATACATTATAGCATAGTCTTAGATAATAATGTTTCAGATATATGTAAACATCATTATGAAGAATAAACATTTAGCCATTGCTAATGCACTTTAAAAAAAAAAAACAAACTTGAATTTTATGAAAATCAAGTTATATAAACTAGTTATAAGTAAAAGTAATTTTATAGTATTCATGTATTTATATTTAAATTTGTAATTGATTTTGATAAGTTTTTACTGAGTTATACATATTAAGAAAAATTCCAAATAATTTTAAATACTTCTATATATAAGTAAAAAAAATTTTATTAAAAGTTAAATTTTATATCAAATTTTAATTTATATTACTTACTTTTTCTTATTTTTTTTTTGATATAAAATTTTTATATAATGTAATTACTTGATAACTTGATTCAACTTTGCAATTTCTATTTTATAAATAATGGAATTATATGATATTATTATGAATAATTTTGCAAAAATTCTCAAGTTATTTGATTAATATTCATTTTATAACAATATACTATAAATTAAAAAAAAAATTTTTTTTTTCTTATCAAATCCAAAAAATGAAATAAAAATTATTCTATAATATAATTAACTTATATAATTACTAATAAATAAAATCTAATTTAATTAACTATTACCTTAACATTTTTACATTTATTCAATAGTTTTTCTAGATTGTTACTTCTGTCTTTCTAACTATTGACTATCTTAAATTATTTTCTAAATTTATGTTATTCAAAAAAATAGGTCAGCCTTATAATAGAAAAAATAGACATACTGTAGCATATGCAATTCACTTACAACGTACCAATAATTATATCTTTTTTTTTATTCTCTTTTCTTAGGATTGTCCTATCATCTTTATTTTGAATATTTAATTATTTCACATCTAGAAGTAGATGAGATCATTGATACTACATTAGGAAGCTTTATATGAACGAAGTTAAAATTAAATATAATCTTCAGAAAAAATTTTATGATCTTTAAAGAATACCTTTGGCTTCTGATAATGATCATCACCGCCGCTATCGAGCATTAACTCGGATTTTTTGACATGGATCAGGTACTGTTACGATTATCTTCGCCACCGGAATCTTCCAGCGCATTGAGTTCTTTGGAGATAGACATGGATAGTGTAAAATAACATTCGTCAAGTCATTACCAGACAACAAGCTTTCATCAGTCAATGACACTGAATCTTCCCCGTCAATGATATCAATCTTATTATTTTCTGGCTGCTGCACTTCATCCTTGATCGGCGATGTCAGCACATTATTAATTAATTTTCCTCGAGAAAGCTTTATATTCATCAAACGTATTCCATTGTGTTATTTAATCTTCATTAATTGTAATAATCTAAGAATCATCGATAACTTAGCGCACGGAAGTAAGCAAAACAACAAATTATAAATAACTAATAAAATTAAGAATGATTAGTACATTTGGTAGAAGGCACTTTTTAGAGATGTCCTTCGGTGATGCATGATCATACCCTAGTTCACTCTTTTTTTTCGGATAGAATTAAGTTGCTCATTAAAATAAAGGATTACACATACCCTAAAGATGGAAACCATCAATAAATAGTCATCGTAGTCATACTCTTGAAGATCAAATTTATCAAGAATAATAGATATATTTTTTTTAACCCTTGATTTTAATGATGTATATACAATGTATCACAATTACAGTGTTCGAAAAATTCCTTCATTAAAAAGTATATTGCCTGTTTATTAAGTAAAAAAAAATTTTGCTTGACACTCTTACCAAGTTGTCTCAATGCTTGATCCTCGTTGATTTTTTGTCAAGCGAAACGAAACGCCGCTTATATGTTGACATGCCTAATACTTAAATGACTGATCAAGCGAGTAGAATCAAATAAATATCTAATAAACATGCATTGTTTCTAAATTCAGACTGAAAATACATTATAAAATCACAATGTTATATTTGATGTGGATTATCGAGTCTATAATTATGATTTTCCATATACGGGTATTCCTGAGACATATTATCAGAGGAAGAAGTTTATATGATAATTCTTTACAGTTTAATAAAACATGATTCACAAAGTCACAAAATATTAAATATCGCTTGACTTAGATAAAACCTTCGAACAAATCATAAGTCCTCCCTAATGATTTCGATATAACAAGTTTCGACTTGTAATATTAAAAATCACAAATCTTCTTCACAAATATCTTTTTTAATGCATTTGTCTCTCCACACAAGTGGCATCATGCGTTTTATCACTTCCTTTTCATCTTCCTTGGCAAAAGACATTGGATCAGTCCATGCTTTGGACAGTTTTTTAAGGAGTTCCACTTTCGTAGAGGAAGACGGGAATGATGCGTGCCCGCTATTCTCACTTGCATTGAGAAATGGATATACATGTGGTGAGATACCAAACAAGCCTACGATTACTTGCTTGTCTAATCGGCTCTTTGCTACTTTTTCATCCTCATTCACAGGTGATTTCAATAGCATATCTTGTCGTTTGGTTTTCTCAGCCTTACCACCAATAGCAGTAATACCTTCATCTCTTGCTTGGGTATTACGACCATTCACAACCTTCAGATTCTTAATCATACCGTTTTTATAACCTAAAGTAAAATACAAAACGAGATATGGCCAATCTGGATCCATATCTAGCCCTACAGTTTGAGGAGTAATTACGAGACTTGCAAACATAATATTAGGGTCGCTTCCACTATAGTTGCGCGTTTGAATTAAAATGTAGGTGAACTCGCCATTTGGTAGCAGAACTGGAATGCCATGATCTATAGCACTTTGTCCACGTTGACATTGAAATGCTGCACCGCGACAGAAGAAGTAACGTATATCTTCTTTTGTTATAGACTGTGCCACGACTATAAAGTGCGTAAAAAATACAATGCCGCTCAACAGATAGTCCATACTATCAGAATTAATTTGACCCTCGAGACAACTGACATCTGACATTAATGCAGTCAAGTATTGCTTAACTGTTAAAGGATACGTGTAGATGAATTTATGAAAGTCTTTTTGCGCTTGATGAATTGCATAATCCCAAGCCAACGTGAGTAGGATGCGAACAGTAAGCTCTCCTTTCGGTCCTGGTTCTACTATGCCTTCTTGAATAAAACCAAGAAGTGGTTCGATTGTTTCCTCGAATTTGATCTGGTGATGATTAATGATTTGTGCCGCCGCTTCAGCTACAAGCGGCTCTGATGAATAACCAATAAAAACACTTTTTCGATCTTGTGATACACCTAGGCAGACACCCAAACGATTCGCAATCAAATCACTAGCCAGTTCACTTTGTGGCTTAACCAAAAGACTTGCTCTTACGCACCATAGTGCAACCATATTTTGTCTAATAATTATTTCTCTTGGAATACGTTGAATGTAATCTTCGAAGTTGATGCCACCCATGAGTTTGCATTTTGCGCATACTATTGCTCTAAACACAGCTGTACTTTGTTTTTCCTTATCCAAAAGTTCTAAAGTGCGTCCCCAAAGAACGCGTCCTTGGCGAAAGAATGTGTGTAAAAACGAACTCATACTGATCTTTCTCTGGTGAACATCAAATATCATATGAGGATCAGGAGGTGTTGAAAGAACATCCCATAGATCAATAGTCCAATAGGGAGGGTACAAATTAGTAGATTTAGTAACATAGCGAAAGGATGGATCAGATCCTAAAGGTGGCAGAAAATTGGCAATTTTTGAGACAGTGTCCAGCAAAAGAACAAATGTATTAACTTTCATATTTGGATCGTATCCAGGTATTGTGGCAGATGCAGCACGGAAATAATGATACAGAGAATTGTTACCAAGCCTTTCATTTGGAACCGTTAACGGTCGTGCCTCATCAATTGCAAATATGACGGAGACGTCACCTTCTCGTAAGCAATAAAACATCTTGAACTGGTTTTCCAATTCTTCGATAGCACCAAGAATCTTTATCTTGAGTCTCTTAGCAAATTCTGAATCGGAAATACTTCCTATCAATTCCAAAAATTCATTCTGTATGGTTAACATCCTATTGAGAATACGCCCCCAAAAGGTTTCACCACCAAGCCGTCTATTGCCTATTACATTTATGGTAATCTGTTGATGATACCATTTGTGGAATATTGATGTTGAGTTATGTTTGCTTTTCATTTCTTCACTTTTCACTTCATCGAGAAATTCCATCAATTCTTCGTAACAAGCACATATATAAGCAACAAAACGTGAGAGGGCTTCATAGCGAGGATATCTTGTCACTGGTTCCTTCAATATCAGGTCAGCAACTTCGAAAGAACGTAAGGGAAAACCATCACTCTTTCCACGCAAGCAAAGGTGAATAACAAACTTGCTGTTGGCAAGTTCTTTAATACTTCGCGATTTTCCGACACCACTTGACTGAACGATGGCACTGATTGGACACATAAAGTCGGCAGGTTGCCATTTTCTACACATCATTTCTGTAAATTCTGCTAATCGGCGGAACGAGTTATTAGGATCCTTCGGTTGTGCATAAAAGCCTAACTCTAACGCTTCTAATTCATAAGCGCTTGTTTGCGGTTCATTTTTTGATACACCAGCTTTTTGAATAAGAAGGGATCAGAGGTTAGCGAAGTTAACAGATAAAAGGTATAGTTGTGCTGAGGGATTGTAAGCTAGTTAATATAATCATTGTCAATTTGAAAGATATATTGTATAAACTTACTAGAGGACTCGGCCACAAGAAATAAGTAGAATAATGATAGTGACAAAAAGGAAATGATAAAGAGTATAAGTTAATCAGTATATATGGATAGTTGATAATAAGAGTGTGTCTTTAGTCAGCTCACAGACAGTCCTTACATTGTTTCTCCATTAACCCATGCTGTTTCTTGTCTCCTTTAAAACGGGTTTAAATGTAACCTAACTCTGCTATGATTCAACCAATAGCACCCAACCGCTTCTTGAAATTTAGCATAAACCAGTAACATTATTTAAACTATTCTCAATAAACGTGTGTCGCTTACTTGCTTACCATGTTCTTGGATATATTTTTCGTACGCATCAGTTGCTTGTTTCAAGGTTGCATTGGGAAAATCTTTACCATATTTCAGAGCGAACTCGAACTTATCCAATACTTTTACATCCACGTCCATTGGGTCCATGTCTAGATTTTTCGTGTTTAGTGAATGACCTATTTATACATTTACTTACACAAACATGTGATATTTTTTCCGTATTAATTTAATAATATAGTGCAAGTCATTTAAAGACATCTAAAATTACTAAAAATTTTATACATACTGTATATTTAAATTATAAAAAAAAAATTCATAGATTTATAGTTTTAAATAAAATTTATAAAACTATGAAATTTTTTTAATAAATTTATACTTATTTATTGAAAAGTAGTAATTTATTAAAAAACATAATAAAATTTTATAATATATCATTATATAAATGATTAACGATATTGTGGCAAGTAAATTATGTAACTAACTATAATTATTAATACTGTGGCAAATAAA